ATCACATGGATAATGGATTAAGAGTGAAAAGAAACAAATATAACGTGGACTGGCCTGAAAAGAAAACGGAGGAGATTAAGGTGGGGCTGCCGACAGATCATCATCGGCACCTGTGTTATCTGATCAACAACCAGCAAAGCTGACGTGAAGCCTGACGACAATACTGCAAGTCCAATGGAGGAACAATAAGTTACAGCGGCGTGAGGGTGAAAAGGTTGTGAAGCTAAAGGTGAAAAGATAAGGGTAAAAGGCTGATCAAGTAGAGCAAAAGTGTGAAAAGTACGAGTCAAAGTGCCACATCGTCACTCTCTGTTAATAAATTAACGGAGGAATGACCAAAAAAAAATATGTATAAAGCTCAATTATTAAATTAAATATTTTAAATTTAAGTGATCAAAATGGGAGTGAGAAGAAAGTTGAGTGATGACATGTATAATTTACCCTTAAAGAATTTGTGTTTAATGTTCTAATCCAAATTTATTAAATGTCAACTTTTAAGGGTGAGCAAGAACTAATCAAATTGAATCATTCGCTTATTTATTTCGAACAGATAAATGTTCAGTTAATATATTAATTAATATTAAATCATGAAAAAATAAACATTGACCCTTTTTATTCCAACGACTATGCTCCCAACCCCTGTGTTTGTGACTTTACCGACCGCGGGATGGGCACGGAAATGGCCACCTTTCGTAAACAATGGTCCGGTTTGAGGGCTTGTTTGACTTTGCATTGTTCGTATATTAGCCTCTAAACAAATAAAATAAGCATGAACGAGGATATATTTATGTTCGTTTATTTAATTTTAATCGAATAAGAGAATGAATATGAATAACTAAACGAACATAATTTTTTATTCGTATTTGTTCTAAGAAATGTAGTTTGTTCGTGCTCATTTATTAAAATAATAAACAGACACAAAAGAACGAACGTAAATAAATACAAACAAATATAAATGAACATAAATGAATAAACATAAATTTTAAAGTTTCTATTTTCTTTAATTAATTTGGGTCCAAAATTAATTGAGTTTTAAAATAGTAATAAGTTTAAGGTTAAAATTTATTAAGTCTTAATATTTTAAACATATTTGAAGATTAAACTGAATATAAACGAACGAATATAAATGGACAAACATATTACCAAATATTCACAAATGTTTCATTTAATGAAACAAATATAACATATTGTTTATGTTCGTTAGTTTAATGAATAAACAAACATAAACAAACTCTATATAAAAGACATAAACAAACGGTTTGCTAAACGTTGAGTTCTTTTACATGCCTATTTGTATATCAAATAATAATCTAATTTAAAAATAAATTTATTCTTTTTTATATAAAAGAAACCTAAATCTATTTGTCAACAAAAAAAAATGATAGCATAACAGATACACAACAGTAGATAAACTTTATCACAATACCAAAAACAAAACAATGGACAGTAAAAATTGAATACAACAAGTTTTTACCTCTGATGCAGTTTTCATGCTCTGATCAAAGAAACACTTTGTATCAGAAATTTATGGCTTTGTAGGCAGCCATGTTATACATCGCCTGGCTATATTCGAGACGAATTCTTCTCTCTTAGATGACTTTGAATGTGAATGACCATCATCTGACATGTGCTTCTTTCTCCTTGGCGCACCGACTCCGGAAGAGTCCATCAAAGGGCCAGACCATGTCTGGATTGGTGCTTTATTTGAAAACGAGAAACTCGTGGTACTAAACGGGAACGTCCAGTGGATCGAAACCGGGATCTATCGGATGTGCAGAACCTAGAGGATAACCAAGAGTTCCATCCTGGTGTGGAGGTGGAAATTTCTCACTCTTGCTCTTGGCATTCGTTTGTGTTATCATTCGCCGTCTCTGTTTCACCAAAAAATTCCCGGTAAATCAGTAGTCAGTCCTTTGTTTCAGTACCAGCTCAAGTAGAGAAAAATCGTAAATCAAGGACAACTGCAGGTGAATACTAGAATGGAGAACAAAGGATAATATCTTTGTTGATCATAATTCAACGGCAAGTGCAAGGTCTAGAGGGAAAAGAGGGGATCTTCTACATGCATCCAGGTTGGGTTGAAGCTCGGCATTTGCTTCCGGAGCAGGAATTGCACGCACGGCTGGATCACGTGGACGAGTTTTCTTCACTCCATCTGCATTGGCTCTTCCAGCAGCTCGCAATCTACAATCATGAAGCTCATGTCATGTCAGTTACAAAGAGAAAGGAGGGAAACAAAACCAATATTCAAAGTAGCTTCTTCGTCTCGTAGCTTAGAATCCATCTCCTTGCAAGGAGGGTATTTCGGAAGGCTGGAAGGATAGCAAGCATAAGGCTTGGTCATGAAGAACTGCACAACACATGAACAGTCACAATGACACTTTCAAGCATAAATAATTTTAAACCAATCGTTGGTTATCCTATGAAACGATACAGGACTGACAAAAACCCGAGCATTCTTGAAGAAAAAGGATGACAGCCAACATCCTTCCATGTAAATTTCAGCCATGGGTGAAAAATGTGAATCGAAAAATAAATTCTTATCTGATATCATGAATGGTACTGAATATTCTGAATGCCGCTCTCTAGAGCTTCAAGATTATGATCAAACAAGCTAGGTAAAAACTAAAGAACTAAGGAGATGAGAAAGATATAATGGGAGAGAATAAAAGCTTGCTTCATTGTTTAATGCGGCTGTAGCTGTCAGACGCTCAACGGGGTCAATCGCTAGAAGAGTATCAATCAGCAGCAAGGATGACGGTGGGAAGTCCTTAAAAGTTTCAGCTATACATCGTTTATACGACTGTTGGGGCTTAAATATGGTTGCATGTGGCAACTTTGACTTTTTCCAATATTCATCTGAAAGAGAGCCACATAGTTTGAATATCTTGTGTAATGCTCCACCTAAACAACAATATAGACAAATGTTAGCAGATACAACTGGTAGCAATGCGCAGAACAATTATACTCTAATTAGTAGTTAAACAGAAAGAAAAAACTGAAACTACATCGATTTCATCATCTTTCCCGAACAGTAACCTTTTTACATAAAAAAAAATACAATATCATTGCTCTTAATGCTTCCTAATGGCGTACATTTTTTAAACCAAGTAAAGTGAATCATGCCGGTATTGCTTTCCCAGGCTCTTTCATGATCATTGAGAAAGCCAGTGGAACTTTCAAGATATCCCCAATTACGAAAGAACTATTACCGAGTCATAAATATGATGAAAACAGGTGATCAAATTATGAAGTTGAATAAACAGCACGCTTAATTTTTCATGGAACTAGATGCAGCTGAACAATTAAGTCCTATACCAAAGGAGGTGATAAAGGCAGCTGGAAAATTAAAAAAGAAAAAGAAAAAGAAAAAGAGGAGGATCAAATATCATGGAGAACTAGGAAAAGACGACGTGAAAAGTACACTTTTTTGCTACTAAACTAAAATCTAGAGCAAAATCAATGTGCTAATTAGTGTATGCCTCTGCAAAGTAAAAAGCTACGATGATGTGCTTTGCAGGGAGGAATAGAATGGCACAAGGAGAATACATGTTCTTAGATTCAAGAAAGATAAGTTACCTCGGTACGACCAGGCATGAACAGCCTTCCAGCTAATAACTCGGCTAGAATGCAACCAGCACTCCAGAGATCCACACCAATGCCATAATCGGTGGCACCAATTCACATTCAGCTCACTTATGCCAAATTAAACCCATAACTCATTAAATCCATCACTACCCGGTTACAATCCCAAACCACATCTAATCCCAACCAAACAGTGACTCATTGCAGACCTATATGTCAACCAATAACTGAAATGCAAGTACAAAGGCCTGATTCACAATACTAAACGGTCCAAGGCCTACGTGAGATGAAGCCAACTTGGAACTAGGTTTTCTGAACTCACATTTGAGCCGTTGGACGTGCTTCGAATCCAACGGTTTGGATCGGAGGAATCCCTAATTTGAAATTATCAATTTCTATGATCATAGATCCCTGATTTGTGTGGATTGGTTTTTATTTCTTTACGCAGGTCTGCTACTAGTGGGTGCTTCTATTTGTCGAGGGGTTTTTCCAAATTGTCGGGCTGTTGATTTGGTTCCTTGTGGCACGGGGAGGGAACCCAATGTGGATTGTTATCGGGAGGTTAGTATTTTATTTATAGGTCTTTCTCCTAGATTGGGGTATAAATTTGTGAGTATTCAATTAAATCCAATATGGCGACCTATGGGGTTTTATAATTATAAGAAACAAAGATGTAAGCTTGGGTTCTACTAAAACTAGATTGAAGCCACAAAAGTTAAAGCTCAGACCAAGCTTAAGAGAAAAAGGGGTCGTCCGAGATTGCTTCCTAAGAAAGAGACACTAAGAATGGAATTGGAATGATATCAACCCTAAATCTATGGAATTTGGGGTGTTTTCTAGTTAAACGATCACCAAATTCACATTCAAAATGGTGAAACGCACTTAGTCAAAAATTTTGAGAGTTATTGACCTCTAGAGATGGTGACCGACTGTGGTTAGAATGACAGTCAATATGATTATCGAAATCTGAATATGTTCAAGTCGAGAATAGAAATAGAAAGAAAATAAGAGGAGGAAGATGAAAAAAGAATGAAAATGGGAGCAATTTTATTTTATTTTATCTTTTTTTAATGATTTAAAGGGTATCTATTTAATTCACATCATAACTGTGTTAGGAAGTTAATGGTAGAATCACTAAAAAAACAACTCAATGTATAAAGTGGAGTGAATTAATTAAAAAAATTAAAAATATAATAAACAAAATAAGAGAAAAAATAAAGTTCAATTACTATGCATATAATTTACTCTATAATGGCGCATGATAAAGTTTTTCTCTGGGTGCACGTTAGCAAGGCTAATGAAATCTAAAAACTCGATCGTGTCTCCGGCGTACAATCTTCCAGTCTTGGCGTTTTCTTTCAGTTTCCCTCAGCTCTGTTCGATTACTTGGTTTTTTCTTTTCTTGGTGTCCTTCGATGGATTGGAGAAAGCTTTTTGGATGCTCTGAAGGTCTCGATTTGGAATTCCATCCGCCTAGGGTTTGTGAAGGAATTACTTCTGTTCATCCGCCTCCTGAAGTTCTTGAAGCTGGGATTGAAGAGTGGAAGCTTTCACTCATTGGCCAATTCCTCGGTGCTGCCCCTAACTTTGCTGCAATGCAACGCATCGTTAATAATCTCTGGAGGAAGGCTCTTGATGGCAGTAAAGTCCAGGTAAGCTTTGCTGGGAATAATCTTTACGTTTTTTCATTTAAGTCAGAATCTATTAGGGATTGGATTCTTGAAAATGGCCCCTGACATATACTAAATAAGCCTCTAATCCTCAGACGATGGGAACCTAACTTGAATAGATTACAGTTTGATTTGTCCCGCATCCCCGTCTAGATTCACTTTTTCAACGTGCCCTTAGAACTCTTCTCTAGATCTAGTCTGAGTTACATAGCTAGTGCCATAGGCTCTCCCTTTACTATGGACTCTGTAACTGCTGCTAAAACTAACCTGGAATTCACGAAAGTCTATGTTGAGATTGGGGTTAAAGATATTATTCCCCAATACGTGGAAGTGGTCCTTAAAGATAGAAAAACTACTTATGTAGTTGTTGAGATACCCTGGCTTCCCTCTAACTGTAAAAATTATTGTGTATTTGGCCATAGTGATAAGAATTGTAATGTTCAGAAACTTAAAGCTCCTACTAAACAACAAGTCTGGAAAAAGAAAGAAACTATTCATCTTTCCCAAATTACTGAACCTGTTGTAGGAGGCATTGAATTATTGCAAGAGTCTGAGCCTTCTATTCCTATCTTAGAAGAAGACTCTTTTAAAGCTTCTACCGTCTTAGTATCTGAGCCTACTGTATCAAATATAGAGGTTTCGGTTGTCAATACGAATAATTCTGATGCTGTTAGTAATGCTTCTAAAAGTGAAAGCAACAAGTCATAATCTAAAATTGTTGCTGCTCCTTCTGTGAGTTTATCTTTATCTCAGCCTAAAAAAGAGATGGGTAGACCAGTCAAAAACAAATCTAAACTATCCCTATCTGTATCAAATAATATATTTGAGGTTCTAAGTGTTGAGGATGATTATTCAATAGTTCACGAAAGTAATCAAAGGAAAACTAGGCATGCTTCTTTAGGAGTTGCTAGAATTGTGAATGAATTGAAGATGAAAAAGAAAGATTCGTTAGTTAAAGCAAAAAATGTTGAGGTAGGAGGTAGTGTGAGTGCCCTTGATCACACCTCTCAATGATTTGTGCCTTCTGGAACATCAGAGGATTGAATTGTCCTAAAAAACAATCTTCTGTCATCAGAAGAGCTAATTTGAATAAAGTTGATATTCTCTATCTGCTTAAAACAAGAGTGAAAAATGCCAAACCTATGACTATTCTCAACAACAAATTTTATAATTGGGATGCATTTACCAATTATGATTTTACTCATAATGGCCGAATCTGGATCCTAAGTAGAAAAGAAATTCACCTCACCTTTTGTCATGCTTCTAAACAATGGTTATCCATTAAAGGTTTTCATTCTGGTTTTCCTTTTGTCATTACTACTGTATATGGTAGTAATTATGGTAGAGAAAGAAGGCTTCTTTGGCAGCAATTAAGGGATTTAGATAGGTACATTGGCCATTTACCTTGGGTCATAGGAGGTGATTTTAATATCATCCTGAACTCTAATGAATCTTCTGACTTTGATCTGTTGGGTCCTTCTTCTTCTTCTGATATGAGTGATTTCCAGGAAACTCTTTCTGACCTTGAACTTTTTAACCATCCATATGTTGGCCCATCTTTTACATGGAGTAATAAACAGAAGAATGCTTTCCTTGCAAGGAAACTTGATAGGGTCCTTGTTAATCAAACTTGGAGCAGTTCTTTCCATTCTTCCCATGTGGAGTTTCTGGCACCTGGCATTTCTGATTACTGCCTTGCTCTTCTTTGAACTCACAAAGAGATGGAAGCCAATAGGCCTAAGCCCTTTAAGTTTTTCAACTTTTGGACTCTTCACCCAAATTTCCTTGCTTTGGTTGAATAATCTTGGCTTTCACCTGTCACGAGCAGTCCAATGCAGATTCTCTTCTCCAAGCTTAAGCGTCTCAAATCTCATCTCAAAGCCCTCAATAATTCTTTCTTTAGTGAACTATCTTCTCGGGTTATTTCTAAAAGAGTTGAACTGGAACAACAACAACTTAAAACTCTTAAAAGAGAAGCTTGTTATGACTTAGAAATCCCTTTACATAAGGATCTTATTTTTTTGGAAGATGCTAAAGCTATGTTCTTGAAACAAAAGGCCAAAATTCAGTGGCTCAAAGAAGGGGATAAATGTTCTAATTTTTTTTTTCACTCAGCAGTTGCCCTAAAAAATAAAAGGGACACCATTAGGCTGTTGATTGATGACCAAGGAAACAAATTAGAATCTTTCGATGATATCTCATCTGAGATTATTAACTTCTTCTCTAATCTGCTTGGTTCTTCTGACCCAATGGTTAAAGGTATTGATCCAATCCTGCTAAGTGACCTGCTCCATACTACTATCCCTATTGATCTTGCTGCGGATCTTACCAAAAAAATTACCATGAATGAAATTAAAGATGGATTTTTCTCTCAAGGTAACGATAAAGCCCCTGGTCCTGATGGCTACACCCCTATCTTTTTTAAACATTCTTGGGCTATCATTGGTGAAGAGACCTCTGCTGCCATTAAACAATTTTTCCAGGAATCATTTATCCTTCCTGCTTTCAATGCTACTACAATAGCTTTGATTCCCAAGATTCCTAATCCAAGTAAGGTCAAAGATTTTAGACCAATATCTTGTTGTACTGTTGTTTATAAAGCAATTTCCAAAATTCTGGTCCATATACTCTCCAAAGTAATTCCAAATCTCATCACCCTCAATCAAACAACTTTTGTTAAGGGGCGATCCATTGTTGATAACACTATGCTGGCCCAGGAAATAGTGAGAGGGTATAACAGAAAACATTTATCTCCTCGTTCTTCTATTAATTGGGGATTTATTTCTACTGTTTTAAAGGCTATTGGTCTTCCTCCTATTTATATCTCTTGGATTGAAACTTGCTTCATGACTACTAGCTTTTCAGTTTCTTTAAATGGAAGTCTGATTGGGTGTAAGGCAAGGGGATCCTCTTTCCCCATACTTATTTCTCCTATCAATGAATGTTCTTTCAAATCTCTTGAACCTGGCAGCTTCAAAAGGTCTGTTTAGTTATCATCCCAAATGTAAGCGCATTGGCCTTACCCATCTCTCATTTGCTGATGATTTACTAATCTTCTGTAAGGGAACTATGGACTGTATCATTGGGGTTAAATCTGTTCTTGATACTTTTTATGAAATTTTTGGACTGAAATTAAATGTTTCGAAATGTGATCTGTTTTCTACTGGTATTCCTATCTCAACTCTTGAGGACATTAGTCTAATTACTGGATTCAAAATTGGCAGGCTGCCAATAAGGTATTTGGGTATTCCTCTGGTTACTAGGAAAATTACTGAAAATTATTGTTCTGCTCTTATTGATGCCATTAAATCTCGGTTACATCTTTGGTCTGGTAAGACTCTAAGTTATGCTGGAATATTAGAGCTTGTCTGAGCTGTTTTATATAGTATTACAAATTATTGGTGCATGCAACTTTTCCTCCCATTCTCTGTCTTGAAAAAAATAGATCAATTATGTTCTAGGTTCTTTTGGAAAGAGGCTGATAAACCAGCTGCTGGTGCAAGAGTGAGCTGGAAACAAATCTGCCGGCATAAAACAGAGGGTGGTCTGGGTCTCAAAGACTTGAAAATTTGGAATAAAGCTTGCATGATGAGCCTAATCAAGAATATCCTTGCTGGTGAAGGATCTCTGTGGGTCGCGTGGTTAAAGAGCTATATGTTCTGCTCCAACGATTTCTGGTCTATTCCTGTTAAATCTAATATGAGCTGGAGCTTAAAGTAAATTTTGAAGCTCAGGTCCGAAACTTCCTCTGCTATGCCTTTGGTTTCCAAGAAAGTTAAAGATTTATGGAATGATATTAGGGAGAAGAATCCTAAAATTCATTGGCATGCCCTGATCTGGTTTCCTCTTCTTATTCCCAAACACAGTCTCATTGCGTGGATGACTCTGCTTGATAGGCTCCCTACCAAAGAGAGGTTGCACCGTATGGGGATCACTAAAGACTGTACATGCTTATTTTGTGATGCTGGTATAGAAACCATGAATCATCTTTTTTTGGAATGTTCGATTGCTAAGACACTATGAACTTCTATCTTCTCCCTCAACGGTCTTCGATTTAGGCACTCTAATTGGGATCACCTAATCGAATGGACAGTAACTACCTGGAAGGGTAAATCACGTCTTACCTCCATCATGAAAATCTCTTCTGTTGCTTTGATTTACGTCATTTGGAAAGAAAGAAACATAAGGCTTTTTCAATCCCAAGCCACTATTGTTGAAGCCATGTTTAGGGAAATCAAAGAAATTGTTGGGTTCCAACTTAGGGGCAGGTTTATACATAGATTAAATAACGTTAACATTACTCTTTGTAACCAATGGGGTATAGTTTAATTTTGTTCTGATTGCCTTTTTAGGTGATCGTTGTAATTCTGAACATTGAATTTTTTTGTAGCAGTTCTTTGCTCTTTGGGTAATAAAAATCGAATTATCCAAAAAACAAACAAACTTATAAACGAGTCAATAAATGAACTTATTCATAAATATAACAAAAAATCATATTCTTTCGCTTATTAAAAATAAATATAAAAAATTTATTCAAATTTATTTATTTAATTTAGCAAACAAATACTATACCAACAATTCACCAACAATTCATTAATTGTTTGTTTATACTCTTATATCTACCAACGTCTCAAGAAATAAAAACCTAGAGAAACACATTATCCAACATACCACGTGTAATAAAATCATTGGTCTCAACGAAGAACAAAAGTCCTCTTTCTGCTACTGTTACTCGACATTTTCACTGTAGTCTTCGTTTCAAAAAGAAAACAAATTGATCAAAAATTGACACAGAGAAACACATAACTCGTTTTAATCTCTTTAATCTTTGTTTTTAAAGCAAATGGGAACCATTTCTTGCCTCATTAATTTCACGAATCTCTCGAGAAAGCCAATCTCATGCTCATCATCGGCCTCATCGCTATCCATTTTCAAAAACCCAATTCCAATCTTCCGAAGCTTCAACATCTCTTCTTCAATGGCCGCTGCTTCTCTTCAAGTCTCAGCTTCCTCCTCAACGGGTCTCTTTGATTTGTTTTTATTTCTTTTAAATAATGCTTTGGGATTTTTTGTAAATAATCTGTGGATTTTCTTTTTTTGTTTGAAATTAAGCAGGGAAAACAAGGGTGGGAGAAAATGATTTGCTAATTGTAGGACCAGGTGTTCTTGGTCGTTTGGTGGCTGAAAAATGGAGGGAGGTAAACCAATTATTTTATTGCTTGCTTTAGATTACTCATTGTTCTTTTCCCTTTCCTCTTTAGAAAATTCCAGCTTCGGTTTCATTCTATGCATTGGGCATAAAACATCATTCAATGTAGTTTTAGGGTTTGAAATTCAAATGGTTTTCTTGGATATTTATAAGAATTAGCTGATTGGTGGGTTTGGAAGTTTAGTATTAGTTGTCGAAGGAAGACAATATACATATGCATTAGGGCTGTAAATAAGCAGATCGCTTGATGGACTGTTGATTAATCATTTGTATAACAATCGCCTATATTCGTTTATTAAGCTAAATAAACGAGTACGAACATAATTTTATACACATTTAACAACAGAACGAATACAAACAAATATATGTCTGGATTATATATTTTCACGAATAAGCTCGTTTATCGGTTTGTTTATGAACTCTTTTATTGGTTTATTTATAAGCTTATCTTATTTACTCGGTTTTCTTTTTCATTTTATTTTATTTTTTTACTTTTAAATATTGTTGAAGATAGAAAATAAATTAAATATAAGGTGAACTTTTGATTTTAAACATAGAAGCCTAAGAAACTTAAGGATTAGTGGTGTAATTTAGTTTTCTTTCGCTTGCAAATTAAAACAGAAAAAACTATTGGTTGGCGAACGTTAAATGAACATGTTTGTGAATTTTAAACGAATAAACATGAACAACATCAAAAATAAATAAACGAACATGAACACGATACTAAAAATTTAAACGAACATGAATATCTTCAAAAACAAACAAATGAACACGAACACAGTTTTATTCTTTCGAATTCTGTTGATTTACACCCCTAGTGATATGCATACGCATATACAACATAATTTGTGGAAGCAGGAACATCCAGGATGTCAAATTCACGGGCAGACTGTGACAGCGGATCACCACGAAGAATTACTCTCACTGGGGATTAATCCACTTTTGAAAGAGACTATAACTGATCAAAAGTTCCCCTATGTGATTTTCTGTGCTCCTCCTTCGAAAACCCCGGATTACCCTGGTGATATCAGGTATCCAAGCATTTTCACGGCGTCTCTGTTGTTTTCTATTTGTGATTCGTCAATCACCCCTAGTAACCAGTCATCGACGTTGTATGATAGTTATCGATTTTGGCTTTGAATCGATCAGATTGGCTGCTTTAAGCTGGAATGGCGAAGGTTCGTTCGTATTCACATCAAGCTCTCTACTGTACGATTGCAATGACAATGGACCATGTGATGAGGTATTTAGAACTAACATAACACGTTTTGCTAGTAACACTTTCTTCTTGTCGATTTGTTTCTTGACATCGGTACGTATTAATATCCATCATCGCCGTCTGTTTTCTCAATTGTACGGTCACTGAGATCGAATAACCTTGTCAGGACACACCAAACGTGCCGATTGGGAGAATCCCTAGGACAGATAACCTTCTCAAGGCTGAAAAAGTGGTGCTGGACTTTGATGGTTGTGTCATTAGGTTGGCTGGACTATATATATCCTGTTTATCGGAATTCGATTATCGGATTAATATGTTTATATGTTTCTTGGACTTGATGTTACCAACGTTACATTCATGATCCCCTTAACCTTTCACACAAGATAGATAGAGGTGCACATTTCTATTGGTTGCGTAAGGGGACCGTTGATGCTCGTCCCGATCACATCTTGAATCTTATACACTATGAGGTTTTTCAACTTCTTTATTATGCTATCACGAAGCATTGCAAGTAGAGATGATTTCTCTTTTGAGATGAAGAATTCATTTAGGCAACTTGAATGGTGTTGATATCGATTTGTATGCTCCGTGTCGTAGGATGCGGCTTCCCTCTCTGTCGCTGTTCTGAAGACGAAACTTCGGGGTCGGATTTTCTTGGGGTGTGACAATCATCCTTTGTCCAGGTAATCTTCTTTTATGTTAAAGGACAGATGACAACTGGTGTTGATAAATTTCTTCCAATACTATTCATTGTCAAAATTGTTTGTTTTTCTGACCTGTTGAGTTCCTAACACTGTTACTTTCTCTGTAGGCAAGAAGTAATGGATTTGGTCGATATAAGCGGCAAATTTGACAAAAAGTTCGAAGGATTTACAGGTGGTTTCTTTGTTTGCACTTTTGGTACAGAAGTATAACATTGATTATGGATGAACCCTAGAATATTATTGGCTAAGGGTATGGGGTTTTGATTATTCAGATACACGAAGAACTCGCGTGAAACAGATTGAACCTACTTAGTCACTCGGACTTGGTCATCTAAATCCAAGTGATTAAGTAGTCTTAGTTATTTGATATGTGAAACCTGCATTAGCTGATGCATGTTGTATGTTGCAGGAACTAGTGATCCACTGGGAAAAATGTTGAACAACTCGAAAACTCGTAAGGAATTAGGATGGGAGCCAAAATATCCCAGCTTTGCCCACTTCGTCGGTGTTTCAGAGTAACTCGTACATTCTCTTCTTTGCCAAGATTAGGATCAGGATTAGGGTTGAGTATTTGATTTACTCGAGTAAAAAAAATTCATATTATTCAAGTTGACGAGTCATATTTTATGAATAAAATTTTATTTGAAATTTTTCGAGTTGAGTTTATAAAATTTAAATCAAGTCAAGTTGTTCGAGTTTCTATGCAAATTTAATTATAATTATTTATAATATTGTAGTACAAATTGATTCTAGTTTGTCGACTTTCTCTAATCACATAAGATATACAAATATATTTCATATTATTTTTCACATTGTAATGTTATTTAAATAACTCAGATACAATCTAAAATTATAAAATATATTTATAATATTATTTTTCGAAGAGTTTATTTTGAGGATAAAGTATTGATTAGAGTATAAAGTAGTTAATGAATTAATGTGAGGAAAGAATTTGTAAATAAAAAATACAATCAAAAGACTAAATTAAATAAAATATTATATCTTAATTCTTTATATCAGATTTAGTAGTACAATTTGTATTTATATATATAAGTTTAAAATTTGAGATAATGATAGAAGCTGAAGAATGTGATTACATGCATAATTATATTATTTCTCATTATCTCTTAAGATTTAAATAATATAATTGAGGGTTTTTAATTATGGTCAATTTAAACTTATAAATTATAATTATTATTCAAATACGTCATAACTATATAATAAAGTAGAGTTGCATTTAAGTCTAATTACCGTATGACTTTTTTGATGCAAATAAAAGTTAGTTTATTTTTAAAAAAAATCAAAACTACAATGAAAGACTTACGATTATAAGTGTTAGCTAAACGCATAATTAGTACTCATTTTCTATAACCATGACATAATAGACTAGTCACTTGAGATCATACAGAGAAAATGTTAAAATCTCATCAAAAAACTCGAACAAAGATCGATACGAACAAACTTGACTAGATTAGCAAATGAACAAAAACATGAGATGAAACTATTTGAAGACTACCGACAATCGCAAATCAGAGTTGACCGTCGTGAGGCAACTATCTCCGAACGCAAATGCATATTCAAATATAATTTAATGATCCAAAGCAGGAAAGATCAGTAGGATAATAAATAAGCGTCGTCTTGATCAATCGAGACAACGTCAAATCCAACCTTAAGAAAATTAAACGAAAAGAACGACCAAAAAATTAGTGACGGATCTAGAAATTTGAAAATAGGGGTCCAACATTTTAGTTTTTTTTTATAAAAATAAAGGGTATACAATTTTTTTTTATTTTTTTTCTTAACACATTAAACTAAATCTAACAATTTTTCCAAAATAATGAGATGCACTTGATCCCTATAGGGACTTAGTGCATCTGTCCCTTCAAACAATCGATAAAAAATAAAAGAAAACGTGTCAAAACAACGTATTATAAAAATAGAGAAATACATATTATAAAACATAGTTATTAAAAGCTAAAATATAATCAAAGATAAACAAACAATCTTAAAACTAGTGTCGTGGCCTATTACCGAAGATGAAAAATGAGGGAGTGAACGGTGCCAAAATATTTAATTACCATACGACTTTCTAATCGTGCTATAAATGTACATCTCTTTATCGGCGTTTTCCCCAAAAAATCACCAGTGACCGGTATATATACCGATCTAACACCGATCAAACTATATTTTCTGATCTAACACCCTTTGCAGTAAGGCGCACCCCCTGTAGTATGACGCGCCCCCTGTAGCGAGCTATACGCTGATTTGGCGCCACGTGGGGTAAGGCGTGCCCCTTGAGACACGCCTTATGCTGACATGGATACACGTGTGAACGGGCAGGGGTAATTTGGTAATTAAGGGTATAGCGCGGCGTAGGGGCCACGCCTTACCTGTGATTCTGACACGCGTCAGAAAGGCGCGGCCCCTGGCCCGTACTATACCCTTAATTACCAAATTACCCCCACCCGTTCACACCCACCATCCCTCCCTATAAATACCTCATTCTCAATCACTTTCATCACACCAAATCATCTCTCAATTTCTCTCAAATACTCTTATATTCTCTTATTAAGGTATAATTTATTATATTTAGTATTTTTATTAATTTATTTAATTTATTTAATTATTTTAATTGTTTAATATTTTATTTAAATAATTTTTTTGCAGATATAAAATGGAAGGCAGTCTACTTTGGTTGGATGGAAATCGTATATCTCGACACTTTGCTGATATGGTAACATTTTAACGTTTTAATTTAATTAATTAATTTATTTAATGCATGATTATTAGTTTAAAAATTAACTTGTGTAATTATTTATATTTTAGGAGAGAGACCGTATATTAGATCATTTTATTATGAACCTTAAGTTAGTTATACCTACTCGTGTAATGTCGTATTTAGTAGAGGCTGGATTCAGTCACCTAGGTAGATATTAGGGTCACTGTAAGATAGAACCAAACCTTATTTCTGCCTTAGTAGAGCGGTGGAGGCCGGAGACCCACACATTCCATCTTTCGTGCTGAGAGTGCACGATCACGCTTGAGGATGTTTCTATGCACCTGGGGCTTCCGGTGGATGGAGGTGTGATATCAGTGATAGCTTCCGGTTCTTGGACTACTTTGTGTTGGGTTAGTCTAGGATGTGTCCCAGAAAATTTTAACGGTGGACGGATACTGTTAAATTGGTTAGATGCCAATTTTCGGGAGTTGAGCGAGGACGCGTCTGACGATGAAGTTAAACAGTATGCACGAGCATGCATACTGTAGCTGATAGAGGTGATTTAGAAAAAATTAGGGTGTTAATCGATCAGAAGGCTGGCGCACAGGTATGAATTTTAATGTTTAAAAATCGATTTTAAATTATAGTTATATAATTAGATTATTATTTTGATAAAAATTATATATATTTGTTTTAGTTTGAATGGGTGCCATATTCTACTAATGATGTGAGGGCAGTGATCCCACCTGAGTTGAGGGGCCCATCAGATGTTTGGATGGCGATGGTCTCCTTGATCTGTTATGCGACCGTCGAGTGACACTCCACTGATCACGTGCTCCGGTAATTTGGTTGTTTTCAACCAATTCCGGAAGCACCTTGCAATATGGACGAGTTGTATAGCACAGATAGACGCGACAAGACAGATACAGATTGGCTGGTGAGGCATCATGCGTGGGTTGTGTTGTGGGAGGATCGACATCGGCACCTTCCCCTTAGAGAGCCCATTTTTTATGACCTCTTGATGGTTGCTGACGGTTGTTACGAGTGGTTCAACAGTAACGGGAAACCGTTTCTGCTTCCCGAGGATGCACGAGGGTAGACCTTTCCGCAACGTCGACAGAGACGTTCACCGACACAACACCATCGTCCCCCGACTCGTGGACGGAGAGCAGGTGCATCCGGTTCATCCTCAGCTGCACTAGCAGGACCTTCATAACAGACACCGTATCCAGCGACTTATATACCGCAACCATATATGATGCCGCCATCGCCTTTCCATTACCAGATGCCGTCGACGCCGCCTTCACCTGCTTTTATGACCCTGCCACTGCCACCGTCACAGATGACCCCTCCTGGAGGCTATTATGGGTCTATGTTTACAGATCTAACTTGGGGTTCATATGCTGGATATTTGGCGGGTTCAGCCTCATCACCCATGGCCGCAGCACAGACACCTCCTGTACAGTTTTCACACTCAGCGATGTCTGGGTTTTATGAGTTTTCCCAGTTTTCGCAGGCCGGTGGGATAGTCAGTCATTCACCTCCAGGGTCCTTATTCTATGGAGGTGCTTCATCGTCATCAGCTCCTCATCAACCTAATGTACCTACTCAGGACGACGACGGTGATGATGATGACAGCGATGAGTTACAACCAGTGATACGAAGAAATCCTCCTCAAGACCGACAACCACCGCCCTGCAGAACACAATCGCGTCGTAAGCATCGATAGATTTTGTTTTTTATTATATTTTTATTTAGTTTATTGGATTTTTTAATTGTATTTTTTTATTATTTTTCATTTAATACTTACTTTATTTTGTTAAATTTGTTTGATTTTTTAATGTATTTCAGTTAATTTTGTTTATTACCATTTAATATCGGTTATTGTAATTTGGTTATCATTTACCATTTAATACTTATTGTATTTGTTGTATTTAAAATTTTTTGAAATACCAAATTGTTCGATAACTTTCTTAAGTTTGTTACTTATTATCTCTTTTATTATAATCACATATAACACAAATGTCCAATCTCGTATTATTGTATCGTTTTTTTAATCTTCATCAGCGATTATCGAATGACATTAACTTAAGTAAATGCAAATCAAAGTACAAGAATTATTAAAAAACAAACATCATTTCCTCATCAATTTACTTGATGGCAACAAGTGGACATGTTTTTCTAGTGTGTCCTGGGTTTCTACAATGCCCACATCTTCTGTCTGTCTAGATCTTTCTCGAATATCCATATCGCAATGAATTCGATTGGATTTTTGGACGACCACGCTCCCAATAACTCGGATTTGGTACAATCGAAACCATCTTGAACCTTATCAGGGTTTTTTGTCATTACCTATGGGGAACTCAAATTCGTATACCTTAAAAACTTCAGATAGTAGGTATACGAGATCCACAAAATGGTTATAGTCTTGACGTGTATGTGAGCAAGCTGCTATCACATGAGAGCATGGATACTTAAGAGCTTGAAAAAACCCGCAGTCGCACGTTCTGTCCCTTAGATTTACTCTTAACGACACAACTTCAATCCCTTGAAGAGGTCGCCGAAACTCTGTGACACAAAACATTTCATGCCTTCTAGAGAAGCTTGTTACAAACATTCCATTTGATGCATAAATTTTTTTCTGTAGATCTGCAACTAATCTAGGGTGATAGATATGACCACCTTGCATCCATGTTTGAGCTTGTCCCCCAAGCTTCGTAAAAAGCGCCCTCAAACGAAAATATGTAATCTTTACCAAAGCCGCTACTGGTAAGTGACGTGCACCCTTTAAAGTTGAATTGATTACCTCTGCCAAGTTGGTCGTCATGTGTCCATATCGATATCCACCATCATATGCGTTCGTCCAAATTTCTTTATCGATGAGGCTGATGT